CTGCTTGAGTATCAAGCGCGAAATTATGTTTATTGGCGCAAAGTGTTATGCTACAAGTCTTTTTTGAATTAGCAACTACTGTTCCGCCTAATCCACATATTTCGAAATTTGCGGGTTCGGTTTTCAGATTTAATCTAGCTCTAATTCTTTCTGTCAGAAATGATCTTTTAGATGCGGAGTCTATAAGAGCTCTTACTGTGAACTTGTCACCAAAATGCCTAATTTCTACTAAAGCTGTTGGTAATATAATATCATCATTGTTTACTGACAAATGAGTTTGGATATTCGTCTGATCAGAATTACTGCATGTAGGGCATTGAGTTCCTGAACCATTATATTCTGTTGTCATACTATTCACAGGATGTGTATATTCGGTATGAAACGAATTTACTTGCCTATTTATTCTTTGATTAGCACTTGTAACATGATCATTACTGATATTATGGTTTACATGTAATAAGCTATGATGTTTGTTCTTACATTGTGTACAACGAAATATACTTTTGCAATCTTGATTCAAGTGAGTAGGAGAAAGACAATTGTTACATATTTTATTCTGCTCTACATAATCAATACGTTGTTTTACACTAAAATTGGAAAATTTACTACAGATTCTAAGATTATGGTATTCATTGCATAATGGACATAAATTCTGATTTTTTGATTCTGTTTTCTATTTTGAATTTTTGATAGTATTATTCTTACTTGTTCCGTGCTTCGTTTCGCTTATTGACATTTGGTCACGTGCCATTTCTATTCTTTCCAATACTCGGTGTCTACTTTTTAAAAAGTTATCCATTTGATACCAGGATGGTAATTCAGAGTCAGATTCTAAAGACTCTTCCCAAGCAGTAATGGTCTGAATAGGTAATTTGGTACTGCACAAATATATTAAAATTGGATCCCATTGATCCACTCTAAGACCATGTCCCATTAACATAGCTAAACAATCACATATAGTTGTCCGTATTCTATTAATATCATGACTAGTATCTGATTTGGCTTGTTCTATGTTAAAGAGAGCTTTTAACTGAATTTCCAAGCCGGCATGTAATTCTGTTCGGACAAAGTGTATTTCTGTACAATTGCTAATGCATCTCCAGATGTCTTATTTAGCAAGTGGAAAAACTTTTCTACCTGTGATACTCTTGGATTTGTATGATATAGTACGGAAAACATATCCCTAAAAGCTGGCCACTCTTCATAACTGCCATTAAAAACTTTCATGTCACAAGCAGGTACTCGTAACCCAATTTCCGATAGATCGAAAGTAGTATTCGTCGGATAAAAAGATGAAGCACCTAATGCTGAAGAATGGTGTGGACCACATTGTGCATTAGGTGGGGTTTTTGCAGCTTTTAGGAGGTCGTTCATGTTAGCCTTCGTCCACTGAAACTTTTCCCTACATTCTCTGAACCTTGTTCGGGCTAATTCCTTAAATTCGGCGGATATTAAGGAATCAGCCGTACTATATATTGTCTCATATGACGCACGAATTGTCTTCCAATTTTCTTCTAGTGATTCTATTAGAATCACTAGAAGAAGAACAGTGAACTGTACATCCATAGGTCACTGGTTCATATCCGGTTCGAAGGACCATAAACAAATTTCAACCCTTAAATGGAGAAATTTGTTGTTGTTGCTGTTTTAAACAACAAGAAACCAAAGTTATTTATTGATACAAATAAATAACTTTGGAAGATAAATACAGGATGCACTTACTTGATTATTCCGTAAGTATCAATAAAAGACAGTAGACGTTCGGGAAACGTTATAAATCTTTATTGATTGAATATTTAGTGGCTGTCTTGTCTCCCGCTGCTGAAAATTATTCACAAACTGTAATGGCGCTTAGGTCAGTTGACAGGACGTCGGAATGACACCTGTCAACCTACCTAAGCGTCATTCACAGTGATGTGAATAATCACAGGCGTAGCGAGCCAGAGGGGTCACACTTACAACAGGGGCTCAATGTCCAAGTCGAGAAACTCATCGTCCTCTTCAGCTTCAGATGAATTGTCGCGATTACTTATTTTCCCTGAAAAAAAAAACGTGTTAAAAAATTACAATTCCACTACACACAGTGGTATAGGAAAAAAAAAAAGAGGGAAATAATTCGGTAACTTCTAAACGGTTAATCCGATTTTAATGAAATTTGGTATGCACAAAGAGGAGGTGTTGTCGAGTTTAGGTTTTGAATTTGGACCTTATAGGCCAACCAGGGGCCCGGCGGGGGGTCCTCAAATTAGGACACCTCGGCTATGTTAAATTTTTAAAACGATCCTATTTCTTCATTTGAGTTCCGATTTTGTATATAGAATCTCCTCATCGAGCACTATAAAAAATGTCGTCGTAGCAGTAAATTATCTCTTATAGTTTAGGAGATATTCGCATTTGAATATTAAAATTTTAAAATTTTTACCGTCCTTACTTTAGTTTTTTTGATAATAGCAGGTCCAAATATTTCCGATTTTCGCCATTTTTTTTTATTTGCTTAACAACAAGTTTATATACCAAGCAGTGAAAGAATTATGTAAAAATCATGACTGAGTCCAAAGTTATAGGCATTTAAATTTAAAAAATTAAAAAAAGGCGATTTTTTGTCATTTTTTTGGGAAAAAAGTATCTTTTTCTTTTTAAGTTATCTAAAAAGTTTCTAAGAAGATGTATATAGAATTTATACTTTTTGGAAAGCTGACTTTACATAAAATACGATAAATGAAACAAAACCTAAAAATTTTTGATACCGAGGGGACCAGGTCCATCCAAAAAAACCCTATTTTTTATGGAAAATTAAATTTTGAGCAAAAATTCTCAAATTGCATAGTCGATATCAAATTATAGTGACCTGTTTTATATGACCCAATAAGTTCTTAATTATTTTGTAACGGGTTTCGATAACCCCGCCCCTGGTATGGATATAATAGGCAAAAAACCAAAAAATCCCATTTTTGGGATTTTTTAAAACTTTTTGGGAATTCCGGGATTTCTAATAAGAAAATTCGAAATTTTTATTTAATTTTGGATTTTGAGTAAAAAAATCTACCTAACTGTAAAATTTCATCAAAAAATATTCATAAATAAAATTTTTATTGCAATTTGAAAAATTTGTATCTTCGCAAAAACTGAATAAAAAACATTTTTTAATTTTTTTTAAAAAAAGTATTCCGCGAATTTTTTAATTTTCAAAAATTATATACAGTTTTGAAAAATAGACAAAATTACCTTTCCATTGATATATAACATGCCTACCTAATGTTTTTTAAGTGACAAATTAATTAGGGAAAACTCAACATCTTTTAGAAAATTTGCCTAGCACTATTATTTTCATCCATAAGGTTAACTCTTAAATTTGTTACATATATGGATGAAAATAATAGTGCTAGGTAAATTTTCTAAAAGATGTTGAGTTTTCCCTAATTAATTTGTCACTTAAAAAACATTAGGTAGGCATGTTATATATCAATGGAAAGGTAATTTTGTCTATTTTTCAAAACTGTATATAATTTTTGAAAATTAAAAAATTCGCGGAATACTTTTTTTTAAAAAAAATTAAAAAATGTTTTTTATTCAGTTTTTGCGAAGATACAAATTTTTCAAATTGCAATAAAAATTTTATTTATGAATATTTTTTGATGAAATTTTACAGTTAGGTAGATTTTTTTACTCAAAATCCAAAATTAAATAAAAATTTCGAATTTTCTTATTAGAAATCCCGGAATTCCCAAAAAAGTTTTAAAAAATCCCAAAAATGGGATTTTTTGGTTTTTTGCCTATTATATCCATACCAGGGGCGGGGTTATCGAAACCCGTTACAAAATGATTAAGAACTTATTGGGTCATATAAAACAGGTCACTATAATTTGATATCGACTATGCGATTTGAGAATTTTTGCTCAAAATTTAATTTTCCATAAAAAATAGGGTTTTTTTGGATGGACCTGGTCCCCTCGGTATCAAAAATTTTTAGGTTTTGTTTCATTTATCGTATTTTATGTAAAGTCAGCTTTCCAAAAAGTATAAATTCTATATACATCTTCTTAGAAACTTTTTAGATAACTTAAAAAGAAAAAGATACTTTTTTCCCAAAAAAATGACAAAAAATCGCCTTTTTTTAATTTTTTAAATTTAAATGCCTATAACTTTGGACTCAGTCATGATTTTTACATAATTCTTTCACTGCTTGGTATATAAACTTGTTGTTAAGCAAATAAAAAAAAATGGCGAAAATCGGAAATATTTGGACCTGCTATTATCAAAAAAACTAAAGTAAGGACGGTAAAAATTTTAAAATTTTAATATTCAAATGCGAATATCTCCTAAACTATAAGAGATAATTTACTGCTACGACGACATTTTTTATAGTGCTCGATGAGGAGATTCTATATACGAAATTTTTTTTAAATCGGAACTCAAATGAAGAAATAGGATCGTTTTAAAAATTTAACATAGCCGAGGTGTCCTAATTTGAGGACCCCCCGCCGGGCCCCTGGTTGGCCTATAAGGTCCAAATTCAAAACCTAAACTCGACAACACCTCCTCTTTGTGCACACCAAATTTCATTAAAATCGGATTAACCGTTTAGAAGTTACCGAATTATTTCCCTCTTTTTTTTTTCCTATACCACTGTGCTACACAACACTTAAATTGTCTTTCCTATGTATTTCGATTAGCTCTAGTTTCCGAGATATTACAAGTTTTGTAAAAACGTTATTAAGGACACTTTTTGTACTTTTTATTAAATTATTTAGAAGGTCCATCTACATACATGTACATATACATACAAAATATAATAATGTTAACAATTATTGCAAAATAGATACCGTTACCTGTAACGCAAACGCCCCTAACTAACCAAAAATTCAAAATCGATTTTATTGTTGATTCTAATGTATTGCATCAAAACAAATGTTCCGACCAAAATTTGCGATTTTATTGACAAAAAACAAAAGGCCCTATCTACAAAAATTGTCAACTATCATAACTGATTTCACTATTACACAATTTGTTTATTTTTTACAAATAAATCGCGTTGATAGAAACAAACGTTTCAATTTAAATAGTTTTTACTTCTCCTGTAAAATTTTAAAAATGTTAGATAGGGCCGTTTGCGTTTTAGGTGACGATATGTATACTTAATTATTTTATTTATTTTTTCTTAATATTTATGTGGTTAATTTTGCTTTTATGGTTTTTTCCGAAATAATGCTTAATTTAAACTGAAGTAAAACAATAAGATAAATAGTAATGGTAGAAATTGTCTGGAAATAAAAAAAAACATTAGAAATGTAATTGAGAATAAATTAATAAAATTTACCGATGTTAAAAGTTTTCGGTTTATAAGTCCATACCCTTCCATGCTAACAACAGGGGGATTTAATTCAATTGCTGATATGAAAAGATCAATTTCCTTTTGTGCTTGGATGTCCATCTGAAGGAGGTTAGCAGAAAGCAATGTATCTTGAACTCCACAAGCTATAACTGCTGTAGCGTTGTGTGCACAATTGCATACAATAAAAAGCAAAGACGCACAGTAAATTGTTAGTACTATTAGACCTAGTACTTTGTATGAGAAACCAGAATCAAATATTTCGGATATTGCGCCATATGACCCTATTGTGATGTTTATCGACCTGAAATCATAAAAAGAAGAATTCATAATGATGAGTAATATCGTTTTGAAATTACATTTTCATGGAAGTTGCATATGGTTTGTGCTGCTATAAACTGAAATGTTTGGTATTATAACACCGTGGAACAGCCTTTCATACACATGAAAATATAGACATATTGTTATGTTATACCTTTTAAAACGTTGGTTTATTTCCCTTTGAAATAAACTGAATTCTTTTTATTGTAAACTAGCTATACCCAGTGTGCTTTGCTATCCTTAAAGCAATGTAAATAAAAAACACTACGATTTTGAAAATTCTAACATAAGAGTTTTCAGATATAAATTTTTTTACATATTGGAGATGCCACGCAAATTATTGCAAGTTCGGCAATTTATCCAAAATTATAATTTAGATTTTAATGTAACTTATGAAAAATTTGAATAATATAATAATATCCCAGATATACGAAATTTTGCATTTAATTCATATGGGAGATGCCAAAGTCCCATTGAAAGTCCGCCTATTTTTCTCTAAATATTCGCATGAATGTCAAAGTTTTTCATGTAAAATTTGAATTTTCTAGCTCTAATAGTTTCTCAGATATACGAATGTTCACATTAATGTCAAAGGATTTTTGCTCTAATAGTTTCCCAGACATACTTTTTTATACCCTCCACCACCATGAGTGGTGATAGAGGGTATATATAACTTTGTCATTCCGTGTGTAACACCAAGAAATATTCATCTGAGACCCAACAAAGTATATATATTCTTGGTTCTTATGAAATTCTGAGTCGATTTAGCTATGTCCGTCTGTCGGTCTGATGTAATTTTCACGAAAACTATCCAATATAATTTCATGAAAATCATCATACATTTGTTTTTACACTAGAGTATAGTGATAAAATTTAACACACATAAGTTTCATATGATCCAAAATCTCCCTATCAAATTTTATGAGGATCGGTCCATAATTGACCCTACCCTCCATATAAGGGCCCCTTCAGAAAAATTGTTTAACGCTCATTACTGGCTTAAAAATGCTAGTATAGCAATGAAATTTGACATAAGTAAGTCTCTTATGATCAAAAACTTCTCTACCTAATTTTATGTTGATCAGTCCATAATTGACCCTACCCCCCATATAAGGTCCCCTTCAGAATACGACTTTAACGCTCATTACTGGCTTAAAAATACGAGTATAGTGATAAAATTCGACACACATAAGTTTCAATGATGCAAAAGTCTCTCTATCAAACATGTGGATCGGTCCATAATTGACCCCATATAAGGTGCCCTTCAAAAAATTACTTAAACGATAATTACTGGCTTTAAAATACAGAATACAGAAAAGCGACACACATACATATTTTTTTATACGAGTTAAAACCTCTCTACCAAATGTATTGAGGATCGGTCCATAAGAAAATTACTTTAACGATCTTTGCTGACTTAAAAATACGTGAACAGTTATGAAATTTTATATAAAAAACATTTATAGGAACATAAATCTTCCTACCCAATTTCATGCGGAAAGTGTCGGGAAGTGATATTCGATGTAAAGATGTTTTGTATGAACCAAAATTGGTCTAAAAATTTTTTATGAAAAACGGTCAATTATTAACCCTATCTCTCATATAAGGTCCTCATCAGTTAATTTGATGAGTAATATCCTTTTAAGGCATACGGGTTGATGGTGTGTATATGAGATATGAGCCGAATATAACACTCTCACTTGTTTATATTCACAAAAATACAAGAAATTTTGGTTTATAATCGCTTTAGCGATATAGTCCTTAATTTGTGTGCGATTAAGGATTGTGACTATATGCGAAAAGTAATGTAAGTGTTAAAACCTAATCTATCTACCAAATTTTACGGCAATCGGTCCATAATTGACCCTACCGCCCATATAAATATTTTGTTAGTTCGAAAAAGCTCGGTGCATAATTAAATTAAGCCAAATTCCAAATATCACAAATAATTCGTACAGATGTTATAACCGAACCAAAACCTATCTATCAAATTTTACGACAATCGGTCCATAATTGATCCTACCTCCCATATGCATATATGGTTTCAAAAATATGGTTTAAAAATATTTTGTTTTTAAAAATTAATATTTTGTTAATTCGAAGGAGCTCGGTCCATAACACTATGTAAAAATTTTGGGTCTTCTAATCTTTCCCGAACAAAGCCAACGGGAAATGAAAGTAGACAATTGATAGACCCAATTCCCTAAAGGGTTTTAAAAAGTTAGCTCGTATTGTTAATTTATAAGCATTTTAAACTTAGCTTTTTAGGAAAATTTTCTCATATGTAATATCAAAAAAAATTTGAGCATGACCTTCTCTGATTTTGATGAAATTCGGTACACACATTCTTTTCACACATACAAAATTTAAAGTTTTCCAAAATTTCCAAATTAGTTACGGGTTTGATTTTATCGAGGTTCAAAGTTCATATTTCTAAGAGTATTTCTAAAAAAGACTAAATTTGATAATGTATATATTATAATTTTAATCATTTAAGACTGTAATTAATGCTTATGTGTTGTAGTTTGACAAAACTTTATTTGAATTTTATAATTTTAAAATAAGGATAATGACATCAAAAAATTTCCTTGAGTCAAGGATATCTTAAAAACGATAACTCCCATTTTTATTATTCCTTTACTAAAATTAGTTTTTAATATCAACAACAATTGGACCATGAAGGAATCCACACAAAATCCAATTTTAAATTTAAAAATTTTTAATTTAATTTTTTTATAAATCAAATAAAATTTGGAAATTTCTAGTAGAGCATCTACTAACAACTATTAAAATAGAAAGGAAATTAAAGCCCACAAAGTATAAAGATTAATAAATTTAAATATCTTAGACCTTAAGTAATTGAGTAATTTATATATTGACTTATTTCATTGGATTACATAGACATAAAATACATATTAGCAAATATCAAAGTTTTTTAATTCCTTTGAAATTGAACTAAATTGTTAATAACTTTAGTAAGAATAAAATGTCAAATAAATTTTTTGCAGACTACCAGCCTAAAAATTGCAAAATTGTAAAAATCTAGGTCTTCATTTCTAAACGTAATCGGTTTTGGTAGTTCACAAAATTTAAAAAAAGTGTGTCACCAATTATTTTTTCACCTACTTTTTATGTTTTTGTCCACAGTTTTAAACTATTGGACACTACTCGTTATTGTACAAACTAAAGACACTTAGGAGATAAATTCTTTATATGCTTATCCGTGTGACATCAATTTACGTATTAGAACTTTGATGTTAAAATTTGTCACCAGGATTTTTCCAATTTTGAATTTTTTACAGTTTTTTTTTCACCGGTCGCTGACGAACCTTAATAAAATACAAAATTTGGGACAACGGTGGTTAGCTGATGTAATTATACACAGTATGATATATATCTCGTTAATGTGGCCCGAATAGGAGATGGATACGACAGCTACAAAAGTTGGGAAACTTGAACGTAAATTTTTTAAAATATCAGTTTTTGGCGCGGCACATTCGCACTTATATAGGAAATATTTTGAATTATTGCGTAATAGATTTATTTCCAAAAAATTTCAATTCTGCCCCACTGTGCGGAGTAAAGAGAGTACTTTTTGAGTTTTGATATTGAACCTAGAAACATGGAGTGAGAACCTGTAAAAGGGGATTTTTTGGTACTTTTTTGTTCTTCTAAAGGTACTTCTCGAATTTTCTATAATTTTGAACCTACAAACATAAAATTAAGCATAAAGGGCCCGGAGTATTGGATAACCAGAGCAAGGATTTCTATGCAAATGAGTCTGACAGACTCAGAAAGAATCACTTTCTGAGTCTGTCCATCCGTGTGTCCCTATAAACAAATAACTTGACTTGACTTCCATAGACATCTAACCCTAATCCCCATACAAAATATCCTTCAGAAATTGGCTTTAACGTCCATAATTCACTTAAAAACACACCACGCGATAAAATTCGAAATAAATAGAGGTTATACAAACATACATCCTCTCACTAATTTTATTAGGATAGGACAATTTTTGACACCATCCCATATAGTATAAACACTCTTGGATAATAAATTTTTCATCCAAAATTGTTTAAATATAACGGAATTAAAACAAATTCTACATAAATGCGCTAATTTTTAAATTAAATCACATTTTAGATATATTCGTAATTGGTGTAGGTTACCATATGGTCTAAAATGTTATTTAAATTTCACAAAACAATATTTGTATATTTTTCACATTTTTAGTGCATATTTTCCTATTTTGTTGTGCATATTATAAGCGCATATTTTGCATTTTTTAGTGCATGAAAATCCTTGCCTTGGTGATAACCTATTAAAGGGGATGTTTTCGGTACTTTTTATACCCACCATCAAAACAGATGAGGGGTATATTGATTTTGTTATTCCGCTTGTAACACATCGAAATATTGCGCATAGACCTACAAAATATATTATGGGTCCTTATTAAATTCTAAAACGATAAAGCCATGTCTGTCCGATAAGGACCACACGGCAGGAGCTATACAGTTGAAATTTTACATAAATATTCTATATTGATAAAGTTCATTTGGAATTGAAAATGGGCAATATCGATCCACGTTTTCGCATAGCTCCCATAAGTGAGTTTTAAGTTTTATATGAGCCAAAATCTCTCTACTAAATTTAGTGAGTGTAGGGATACATTCCTTTTTATAACTGTAAATTTTAATGTAATACTCACTGATTTTAAAATAAATAATTCGAATTTTATTGTCATTTTATATTTAATAGTTTTCATTAAATATAATTCTCGAAACTGTTAACCATAGATGACATAGATAGCCAACTCAAACTTTACCATGAATAAAAGAGCTTTCTCTCTTCACACTTACATGTTCTGTGTGAATTTAACACAAAGCTACAACAACAAATATTCAATATTTTAATTCCAAAATTCGTACAAAAAAACGATTCGGACACAAATTTTATTACACAAACACACATTTTTTATTTTTTTACAATTATTTTATTATAATTTCTTCATCAAAAACTTTTTAATTTTCACAAACCAAAAAAATAAATTTTGTAATTATTTGACATTTCATTTTTTGTTTTTCTAATTTAAAATTGAAGGTGCAGAGTAGCATTTTTTAGTAGCAAACAAATTTATGAAAATCGATAAAATTAAAGAAATTTACATTTTAGCAAATATAAAATGCATGAAAAATATTAACATGCAATCCATAAATGCAATCGACAATTCAAAATGTAATAATATAAGAAAATTAATGCTATAAAAACATTGTACTATTATTTCGACCGATTTTATGCAGCTATGTGGGCATTTTATGTGTGGTAAAAACCTTTTATACACTAACACTTCTAAAGAAAATCTTAGGCGCAATTTACATGAAGACTTTTCAGACGTCTGTTTTTTCCAATTCTCTTTTGAGAATCTTCCAAAAAATCATGAACATTTATACGGTGATTTTTTACATGCAATTGTAATTGTATAATCCTTTTTAATTACTTATTCGTAATAAAAATAAAATGAAATTTTTAACATAAAAACCATTTAATTTGATTTAAAAAAATTTAATTACACGCTATAGTATTTTTTTAATGCAAATTTTAATGTTTTCATGTAAAAAAAAGACATAATTATTTTTTTACATGAGCATAATATCAACAGTACGAATGAGTTTAAAGAGGAATGTCAAAAACAATCATGAAAATTCCAAATCATGTTTGTTTTCTTACCCCCATTCTTCTCTACCTCGCTCACCACCAATCATCGACAAACATGAAAACAGACGTCTGGGCAAACATGAAAAAAAATCATCGTGTAAATTGGGTGTTACTAATACATATTTAGAGTTAGGTTTTTTTGACAGCTGAGTTAGGATTTTTCCGCCACATAGTTGCATAAAATCGGTCGAAATAATAGTACAATGTTTTTATAGCATTAATTTTCTTATATTATTACAATTTAAATTTTAGATTGCATTTATAAAAGCATGATAATATTTTTCATGCATTTTATATTTGCTAAAATGTAATTTTTTTTATTTTTTTGATTTTCATAAATTTGTTTGCTACTAAAAATGCTACTCTGCACCTTCAATTTGAAATTAGAAAAACAAAAAATGAAATGTCAAATAATTAAAAAATTAATTTTTTTGGTTTGTGATTTCAAAAAAAAGAAATGTCAAATAATTAAAAAAATTAATTTTTTGGTTTGTGAAAATTAAAAAGATTTTGATGAAGAAATTATATTAAAATAATTGTAAAAAAATAAAAAAATGTGTGTTTGTGTTATAAAATTTGTGTCCGAATCGTTTTTTTGTGCGAATTTTGGAATTAAAATATTGAATATTTGTTGTTGTAGCTTTGTGTTGAATTCACACAGAACATGTAAGTGTGAAGAGAGAAAGCTCTTTTATTCGTGGTAAAGCTTGAGTTGGCTATCTATGTCATCTATGCAAGTAAGAGTTCTATATTCGGCTGTGCCGAACCTTATATACGTGTAAATAGAATAATCAGTAAAAAAATGAATTACAAAAAATCAAAATATACCAAATGTAAAACGAAAATGTATCAGAAAGACCGCATTTATAGATTTTCGAAAATCTATAAAACGAAAGAACGAAAAAGTACCAAAATATCCCTCTTAATATGTTATCACTTACTCCGGGTCCTGCATACTTAATTTTATGTCGCTATGGTCAATATTATAGGAAATTCAAATTCACTTACTACGGGGCCTACATACTTAATTTTATGTCTTCAGGGTAAATATTATAGGAAATTCAAAAAGTACCTTTTGAAAAACGAAAAAGTACCAAAAAGACCCCTTTTATAGGTTCTCACCTAATTCGGGGCCTACAAACAAAATTTCATGTTCCTAGGTTCAATATTATATATTATATTATAACAATTATTATATTACAATATTATAACAAAATTAGGTCGAAAACCTTTGTTGTTAGTACCTTTTTCTTTTTTTATAAACATAATTAATTATGTTTATAAACTTTGTAAATAAATAAATAAATAAATATTATAAAAAATTCAGAGATTAACTTTTGTTGAACGAAAAAGTACAAAAAAGTCCCCTTTTGCGTGTTCTCACCTAATCCGGGCTCTACATACTTAATTTAAAGTTTCTATGTTCAATATTATAGAAAATTCAAAAAGTACCTCCTATGGAACGAAAAAGTACCAATAAGTCATCTTTAATAGGTTCTCACCTAATCCGGGCTCTACATACAAAATTTCATGTTTCTAGGTTCAATCCCAGCAAAAAAAGTGTGGAAAAAACCTATGAATTTTACATTAGCGTGTCATTGGAGGGATGTTGTTCATTTTTGGCAGCTTTGAACTACATCTGATCTTATTTTTAGAAGCAGTAAAAATCCGATATTTGGATGTCAAAAATAAAACACATTCTCTTAATGACACGCTTATGTAAATTTCACTACTCTTTCACCAAATCTTGATGTACTTCAAATATGTTATTTGTAATGACTTTTCCACATCTCTTTCCTCACTTTTAACTGGGGTTTCATTTGTAATGAAATATTTGGTTTATAAAAGTGAAAAATATGAAATCGCATTTTAAGATGTGATTAAGATGTGGTTTGTAAAGTATGACATCAATTATTTTTTGCTGGGATATTATAGAAAATTCAAAAAGTACCTTTTGTAGAACCAAAAAGTCCGCTTTTATCGTTTCTCACCTTATTCGACCTCTACATACTTAATTTCATGTTCATGGTTCAGTATTATAGAAAATTCAAAAGCCCCCTTTTATGTGTTCTCTCCTAATCCGGGCTCTACATTCTGAATTTCATATTTCTAGGTTTAATATTATAAAAAATTCAAAAAGTTCGTTTTGAAAAAAAAAGTACCAAAAACTTCCCTTTTATGGGTTCTCACCTAATTCCGACAAATCCTAATTCTAACAACACCAACAATGATATCGAAAACTTGACAGAATTATATAATCACCCTACCGCCCACATAAGGTACCATTTAGAAAATTACTTTAACGCCCATTACTAGCTAAAAAATACGAGTATAGCGGTAAGATTGATGTATAACTAACGTGACAAGATGGTTTTGGAATAAAAGCGGGAGTGATTAAAAAGCGGGATTTGAATGAAAATATTTTGAAAAAGCGGGATTTTGAAAATTGTCTTTCATTAAATCCGGATTTAATAAAACTTAATATCAAAACAAGTAAAAACATTATACTCGACTAATTTTTAGAAACAAAATATTTTCGTCCAACTTTTTAACTATGAACATATATGAGCGGTCAATTGAGGTCAATTAAAAAATTCGGTAGAGAGATTTTGGCTTTGAATTTCATAGCTAAGCTCGCATTTTTAAGCCAGTCATGTGCGTTCAAGTCATTTTCTGAAGGGGGCCTTATATGGGGGGTAGGGTCAATTATGGACCGATTCTCATAAAATTAGGTAGATAGATTTGTGCTCATAAGAAACTTACATATGTCGCATTTTAGCGCTGTACTCTTATTTTTAAACCAGTAGTGAGCGTTAAAGTCATTTTCTGAAGGGGCCTTATATAGGGAGTAGACTCAATTGTGGACCGATACTCATAAAATTTGATAGAGATATTTTAACTCATAAGGAACTTACTTATATTGAATTTCTGCGCTAGACTCGTATTTTTAAGCGAGTAATGGGCGTTTTGGAGGGAACAATATATGAGGGGTAGGGTCATTTATTTACCGATCCTCATAAACTGTTATTTATTTTCCACTTGTATGGGGGCTATGCGAAAACGTGGACTGATATTCCCCATTTTCAATACCAAACAAACCTTACCTATAAGATATTTGTGGAAAATTTCAACTCTCTAGCTCTTTCCGTCCGTGCTTTCAACAGACAGACAGACGGACGGACAGACGTGGCTAAATCGTCTTAGAATTTAATAAGGATCCTGAATATACATATATACTTTTGATGGTGGCAATAAAAACCTGATATGATAAAAAAATTTTAATACCAGATTTAAATTTTAAGTAGCAATCCTTCATTTCGACTTATAAAATGTTTTGTTGGCCTGTGTTATTAAAAATCAGTATAAATTAAACTTTTTATACAGCATTTTCCATATGTTCCTCGAGAATTCTGCCTAGAATCTAGCAAACATAGTGTATAAGAAAAATTCGATAAAATCATTCTGAAATATTTGTTAAAAAAATAAAACAAACCAGAATGGGACCACAAATAGAACTAATTATACCCTACACCACCATGGTGGGGAGGGTATTATACGTTTGTGCTGATGTTTGTAACGCACAAAAATATTGGTCCTACACCCACCTTAAAGTATACCGATCGACTCAGTATCACTTTCTGAGTCGATTAAGCCATGTCCGTCTGTGCGCAAGGTACGGGTCGCAATTTTCAAAATATTTTGATGATATTTGGATCATACGTGTTTTTCGGCCCAATGACAAAGCCTATTGAAAATAGTTGAATTAGGACCATTATTTCACCTAGCCCCCATACAACCCTACCCCCCGAAATGGGTTTTTAAGTTCATAATTATGTTAAATATTGTAATATCGCTACAAAAATCGGCAAAACTTAGTTCGATATATACGTCTTAATAATACTACCGATTTTCGTAATTATCGGACTTTATTTGACCCTAGCCCCCATACAAAGTCCCCTTACTTGAATGTCCAAAATTAACTTATAAACACAAATATCACGATGAAATTCAGCACAAATAAATATTATATAATTATAAAAATATTCACAAAATTTTGTCAGGCTTGGTCCATATTTGTCTCTAGAACTCCATATAACCCTTTTTCAGAAAATTAGTTTTTCATCCACAAATTGTTGTAAGAAAAAACATTTAAAAAAGTTTATAATTCTAAAAACTACATAATATGTAGTGTAGATTACAACAATAATTAGAATTATCCATCCCTGCATTAATATATTTTCGTTCATTTTCA